ATAAATTTGATGTCTTACCTAATATTGATTCCCTGCTTGTAGATTTTACAAGCATCAGATGGCAGCATCCGGGACAACAAAGGCACTACAATACAGATGAGAGTGAATAAATTCCAGTGTGGCGAATGGAACAAGTTTTTCATATGATGGGTTTTCCATTGACGACAGACATGGTTGACACATCTTGCAACTCTGAAGAACTCAATAAGGTGAGTTCAAATTAATAAAGCTGTATGGTTGGTATATGGTTTGAGACTAGAGCGTATGTCTGACTTTTTTGTTTGTGTGAAATATAAAAACTCACCCCAGCTCTGAAAATCCCAATGCAGCTCCAGATAAAAGTCACCAAGCTACAGAAAAGACAAACATTTCAAACTAAAGGATTCAGCTCACACATTATAACTTCACTGTTCTGTACTTGTCCTCTGACCAGTTAAGATTTCACATTATGCATTTCAGCAATTAATATGCGTTCTCAAGGACAGGCAATAGCCATTTATGCAAATTAAAGCCTGCAGAGATTTTCAAAATACAATGGAGTAAAAATTCAGCGATGCAGAAAGATAGCAGTTGCACACTTGAATTTAGTGTAGCTGCAACATCTGTGGAAGAGTGATCCTCACCTCCCTGAGAGCCTTCAGTAATTTTGGCCTTTTATCCTCCACACTCTCCCTGGATTGCTGCTTTAACTTCCGCAGTATTGCTGTGACTGAGGAAAGAGGGTGAGAAAGAATATGGCCGGTTATTCTCCATTCTATCAACTTCACATCTAGATGATGTTGAGTAAGGTATGTGGTCCATATTAAAACACCTCTGAATGTAATGTAAATGAAATACAACACCACCACTAACTATGACATCAATGCTACAACATGTAATTTAATTAACACCTATAAGAAAGTGTCAACAAAACCTGAACATAGACTTTATGGAAGAACTGTTGTATTGAATTGCATTAGCTTCTACAGGTGTACCTAATAAACAGGCCACTGAGTATGTATCATTATCATATTTTTGAAACCCTAAAATATCAAATTCTGCATCAGTCACAATCTGTTCTGAAAATTTTTGGATAATCTATCATATTGAGAGAGAAAGATATGTGTTGTGCATGTATTTCACAACTCGGTCCATGAGATTCTACCAGCACCCTGCTCATTAAAACCTGACACACTGCTCACGAGAGGTGAGCAGTTGAACGCTCAGGTTTTTATAGTGTAACACATAAACGTGAGCGAGCATCGCTACTCTGCCACAGCTACTTTATGTACAGAAGTAACATATTTCATATTACATGCATCAGTAGCAGTGATTGGATCAGCTGAATGCAGTGTCTCGTGAAGAGCAGCTCCCTCACAAACTGACCAGCAACCACTCAGTTGTACTGGATGGACCCCAATAAGTCAACATATCTCAAACGTATCCTTGTTATCTTCACCAGGGTGGAAATACTGGACTGAGAATGAACGTGACTGAGGAGAGAAGTGCTGATGAGGCACTGGCTGCACTCGGGCGGCTTGTCATTGCACACACAGAAAAGCAGTGAGCGAGCTGCTGACGCAGTGTGCACATGTGTAAAAGTGAAAGGTGATGACTGATGACAAGACTGCAGTGTTTCGTGAAAAGCTGTAATCCACACGTTTGATATTAAGAACGCATTATTCTACATTTGTCCCTCTCACTAACTGATAGCCAGCTGCGTGCTGCATTTTATTAAACCAGAGATCTAAATCTAAATACCCCACTGCCACTGGAGTTTGACTTTCTTCGCATGTCCTTGCTGATGGTGTGAATGTTACCAGCCCCCTCTCTCTGCTTCCGTGCCTCCCCTTCACCCTTGTGAGTAATGTGACCTTCTCAAAGCAAAACTCCTGGTCTCTGTCCCAAGCCAGCCTGCCACGGCAGGCATGGAGAGTCGAGATGCATACTAACAAGGTTGAGGGTCGTTTCTCAAACTGCTGGGCCTCACAATCTCCATCAGAGGTGATATAAGAAGAGGATGCTGATAATTCACACTGACATTATCGATAGAGCCAAATACCAACAACTGAAGTTAGTGATTTCAGCTTTCACAAAAACTGGGATAAAACAAAGTGTCGAGTCCTTTTATTAGACACTCAGCCTGGCCTTCATCTTTTCTTTCAGCTTTAGTGAATTATACACAAAATTAACAAGACACCTTTTTAAAAAAAAAAAAAAAAAAAGACAGAACAGTGAATTCATCTCTAAGGTATTAACTGGTGCCTTTCACATGTCATTTGACTCTTTTCACTTGATGTCAGATTTAAAAGCAGGGGCATCATTAAGCAGGGTGGTGAGCAGGCTGTAAGCTCAGGGCTGCCTAATAGTAAGCCATGGCTCAGGCTGCGTTCCAGCCCATCTGGATGACGACTGCTCAGAGAAAATCCCGCCTTTAGCTTTTTAGCTGGTCTGACCAGATAGCAGTTGCATCGTTATATGTACTGACTTAATTAAATGGCTCACAAAAGGTCTTTCAAACACTTGCACATATGCTGCGACCTCCAACAGTATTTAGCTTTGCCTCCCCCCCAATAGTACAGCAGAACCTCCAGAAAAAGGTAAATTCACAAAGAGTGACTAAAGCCATCACAAATCTATAAAACCATCACACAGGCAGAACTCAACCTAAATGCATTATGGGTGTACTATTGCCGGTACGCCACTGAGATTATCATAAACACATCCCAATATGAAAACCACTGGACAGTGCACAGTTATATTCAGAGCACTGTTGACATGACTTACTCATTTGCCTGTCGCCATAGCTGATGGCTTCTGCTAGAGGACTCCATCCCTGTGCGTTCTTTATCTTTACAGGTGCATTATGGGCCAGCAGAAGGAGGGCACATTCTGAAAAGAACAAAAAAAAAAAAAAATCAAATCATCACAGAGAGAAAAAATGTGATTAAGTCTGTTTATTTTGAGCCAACAGTCATTGCAAGTAGAGTGAATGTTGAGATTTTAATATTAACTTTTTAAAACAGTCTAGATAAAAGATGTCCATGCTTTAACTACTAAACATCAAGCGATGACAACCCTAGAACTCATTTTTCTGTATATGTAATGATTCATTAAGGTCAGCATCAGTTATTGGCATCTACTATTTCTATTCTGGGAAAGGGATCCCTCTCCTGATGCTCTTCCTTCTTTCCCTTTTTTGATTATTTATTTATCTATAACTTTTAGAGCAAGCACAGACAAAAAATAAGACGCAAATGAAAGATTTATGATGCTGTATCTCCAGTGTCCATAGCTGCCGTAATGGAAATGTCTGTACAAGCTGGAACTGTCCATACACATTAAGCCTCACTCAAGAGGGGCAGACAAATCATCATACACTGGCTAGCTGCAGCCGAGTCCATTTACTCTCAGATACAAGCAATAAAGGGACCCCCAATCTTTGACAAATTTATAGTATGAATCAAATGAGGAGGAAATAATCCTTTGATTTATTGTTGTTAATTTTTTTCTTCTTTATCAAATTGAGGTTCTGTGCTCATAAATTCGCTGCACTGCTTGTAATCTGCAATCTATGCGAATTTCTCTAACAATTATTATACCAATTGTATGTTATCGCACTGCAGAGGTCGGAAAAGACATGCTGAGTTCTGCAGGAGTATGCTATTCCCAGAACAGCAGAACCAACTGTGCTTTAAAAATGGCCTTTAATAAGGATGCCTCAAATGTTTCAATATAGCCACATTATGACAGGTGCAGGGCCATGGAGCAGAGCAGATTTAGTGTAATTTTGGTGGTAGATTATCTTTTGAGAAGCTTTTTGCTCGTTTTCGTTAATCCTGTATATAACAATAGGTTGTTAAAATAAAAAATAAAAAAAGCAAATTCAATACATTTGATCACACTAATGTTCAGAGTTACCTTTGTGGCCCAGCATCACAGCCAGGTGAAGAGGTGTGTTCCCTGAGAGGAGAAGCACGTTAAGACAATAAGTACAGATAAATATCAATAATCCAACACATGTAAGGAAATATACCAGTTGTGTAATACATTTCAACAAATTACTCAGAAAGCAATCAGGCAATAGCACAAAAGCTTACCATGTACATCTTTCTGAGAGATGCTATGGGTCCTGATGAGAGAGGAGAGCCGACGCACATCCCCCTTGAACACGCATTCATGAACAGGGAACTCCAAGTCCTCACTTATCAAGATTATTGGATTCTTATTATTATCATTGACAATTGTGCCAATTGATGATGGATTGCCGTTAATGTTGTTTGCATTGAGCTGCTGTTGCTGCTGCAGTACGGAGGTTTTGGCCGATTTTTGAAAAGCCTTGTTGGACTTGAAATGGTTACTGGTACCGTTAGGGATAGTCCCGTTTGAGGTCTCATCGTACGTGTCCATTATCTCGTCATTTTTGTTTGGTTTGTTGTGGTCCTTTCGCATGGTGCGTATCTTCTCACCTGTCATGATGACTGTCGTACGCTACCAGGTTAACTAACCAATATGCTACAGGCTAATGAATAAATCTGGGAGCGAGTCAGCATTAGCAATACCCGCAGATATGATTTAAATCCAGCGTCGTGGCAAGTTAAGCTTTTTTCGCAGCTGGTCGCTGTGTGTTATTCAAATAACGTTACACCTGCTGCCCGGCTCCACAGCCAACATTAGCTCCCAGCACCGTTTGGTAGCTAGCTAGCCCACAATAAAAAATGAATACGGTGGGTGCGGCGATGAAAATAGAAAATAATGCTAAACATAACAAAATACACACGCACTAAATCGACACACAGCTAATAAGAACGAACAGCAAATTACTACATCGTTGTCTCTTCCATCGCTTCTTAGAAATACGTTTTAAAAGGGTATCGATTCTATTTGCTTTGCGGCAAAACTCACACGGTACAATGAACCAGCGAGAGCTAACGACTCTGCTAGCTGGCTAATCTCGCGATATCATCCAGAAGCCCCCTGTCTGGACGCGAGTACGTGCAGTAGGTGTCATCTTTGTGAGACAACGCTTTTAGATCGCGAGTAGAGCAAGCAGCTAGCTAGCGCACAAGTTGTTTTGAAAAAAAATGGCAGCTTCGAAGAAGGGGAAGAAAGTTGTAAATCAAGAAGAACTGCGGCGCTTGATGAGAGAAAAACAAAGACAAACGACAGACAAGAAGCGCATTGAGTCTCCTTTTGCCAAATACAACAGTCTTGGGCACCTCAGCTGTGTGCTGTGCAGTGTGCAGGTTAAGTCCGAGCTGCTGTGGCCGGCTCATGTCCTCGGAAAACAGCACAAAGAGAAGATTGCCGAGCTGAAGGAAGCAAAGAGTCAGCCACCGACTCCCCAGAACCAACCAGTGAAGAGGAAAGCATCGGACAGTGAGGACATTAACGGGAAAAAGGCGAAATCAGCGCCGGTTGCAGGCCAGTCTGCGTCGTCAGGGCTACCAGGAGACTTCTTTCAGAGACCCAAGGAAAAGGAAACTGTTTCTGCTCAGAAGTCTGCAGGTTTGAGTCTCTTGGCTGGAGTCTATGATGAGGAGGATGATGATGAAGCAGATGCTGAAGAGTCGGGTCAGACGGGAACACCAAACCCTCTTCCTCAGAAGGCTGAAGCTGCAGTGCTACCATCTGATTTTTTTGACAGCTCCATCCCATCCACACCTGCCATCTCCCACTCTGGCTCCATCCTCAAAGCAGACTTGCAGGAGAAAAGCACAGAAAAGAAAGAAAACACAGCCGAGGCGCTGCCGGAGGGCTTCTTCGACGATCCTATAAGAGATGCCAAAGTGCGCAACGTTGACGCACCAAAAGATCAAATGGACAAAGAGTGGGAAGAGTTTCAGAAGGAGATACGACAGGTGAACACAAAATCAGAGGCCATCGTAGCCGAGGACGACGAAGAGGGTCGCCTTGAACGTCAGATCGACGAAATCGATGAACAAATTGAGTGTTATAAGAGGGTTGAGCTGCTGAGAGACAAGCGCGATGTGGTGAAAAACCAGCCTATGTCCAGGAAGGAGGAACTAATGGAGACCGATGGCAGCATTGAAGAGGAAGAGGATGAAGAGGAGCTGCTGGGGCTTTTGTCCCGGGACTGGAGGGCTAAAGGGGCACTGGCATAAATTTCTGTAAAAAATTATTTTGTCCAGAATGTTGTTAAAGCACATAAGAGAGGTATTTTTTGTACAACTATGTCAGAAATGTGTAAATATGTTTGTTCAAAGATCCCCATCGCTTCTTTTTGTATATTTCAGACTGGGTTAAATATGATGAGTGTGATGTGCAACATTCTAGTAAAACATGAGCTACCACCACAAGACAAGGTTTCTCACTTCGTGTCTTAAAACACCAGACAGACCACAAATCAAACCTTTTAACTGTGTGTTTATTCATTGGTGCTCACACAAAAACACATTCATAAAATCTCTCATGTACAGTAGCAGCGTGGACCCAAAATCTAAGTCATGATGGCCAAAGCTACTTTACATTTTGAGCTCAACTAACCATTGCCCTGCAAAAACAAGTCCTCGACTATGTTAAGTTTATAAATTATTTGTTCATGTTACATTATAAGCAACATGCAAAGCACAACAGAATTATTTTAAAAATGTACAATGTTGAGATTAAGACCGTAAAGCAAATGTTACCAACCCAATCCCCTTCACAAGATAATCGGTTGAAAATACTTTTACATCATTTTTACAGAGTACAATGTTTGAGTATGACAAACTTATTATGTAAATACACCATTATTAGGTCCATAAAAACGGAATAAAATGAATCAAGTAAAGAGTGATGGTCAGTGCTTCTTATACTACCTGTTACAAATTGTGAGCTTTCTGCCTACTGCAATTTTAATCAAGAAATATCTACGTCATTTTGTTATTGCTACATATGCCTCACAAGTTACCACTTCAAAATTCTTCCCAGTTGATTCTAAGTGTTCATAGCCCTTCAAATCTTGTAGAACTGACAACAGCAAAAACAAGCAAAAAAAAACCTACAGATCAAACTGTACAGATGGACTAAACACATAATCCCAATTGCAACTAACTGAAGATAAATGAGAAAACACTCAACGACAGCAAAAAGGAATAAGAAACTTTAGATTCATCTTAGAAAAGAGCATACAAAAATCTTTATTCTTATGCTCAATTGTGTGTTTCAGATAAGTTAGGAAACCGTCTAAAAACAAAACCAAAGTCTCACAAAAAGTCTGTTACTAGTAGTCATTTGTAAACATTCATAAAATTCTATCTGGTGTTCTATAAATAAGGTTCAGGTGAGTTGTACCAGGTGTTTGTGTTGATGGGTGGGGACATCTGCAACAGACTGACATTTACAGCCTCCACAGAAGCTAAACACACAGAAATGTTACATCAAGATGAAACAGACTGGTTAAAAAGAACAAAACACAGGTGCAGGAAAACAGCAAGTTTGAGAACTGAGAGTGGAAAACGGGATTCAAAATAATTCACAACACTTATTTTTTATGGTTTATTCATATAAACCAAGGGATTTGCTAAAATAACAGCTGAATATTCTGCATACAGGTATACTGATTACTTTTCAAATTTAAGATAATTCTTTGTGGCTGACGAGTTGAAATGGACCGAGGGGAGGGGGAGTGAGTTGGGGGCATGCCAGCGCCACTGTTCCACAATCAATATGATAAATATTCAGTTCACAAAAGTGCAGCAATTACAGAAGAGGGTCGGGAACTCCGAACCCCTAGACCCCACTGGGTTTCAATACTGTTCACTGCTGTCAGTGATACTGTGCTCACAAACCTACAGCAGCTCTCAGCTCCATCAGGGAGTATCTCTGGTCCCCGTCATTGTCAAAGCACTCCAAGGTACGAGCACTGGGAGTTGATGCTCCAAACACTTTCCTCAGGTCTTGGTAAATTAATCCGGGTGAATTATGTCCAACACCTGCCTGTTGGAAGATGTCCTCCAAGTCTGTTGGAAAAAAAAAAGCTTATTTTTATTCATTAAGAAGCACAAGCAGGGTTAGATGAGGGTACTGCACAATTACATTCACAGCTCAATTTGTAGCCTTTTAAGCAACAGTTTGACATTTTTTTGAAATATGCTTAATTTTTTTGTGTGCAATCTGTGCAATTAATATTAGGCCACAGCCAGCAGCCAGTTAGTTTAGCTTAGCATGAAACAGCTAGCTTTAGCAATGTAAAAAGGTTGGGATATGTGCTAGACTATTTGTTCGCCAGGAGCAGTAACTTTTTGAAGTTTCCTCAATCATGATGACTTCTTATACTGTAGCTTTATATTTTACCATTACAAACATCTACCTTGTCATCTAACTCTGCAAGAAAACAAACAGATGTGTTTCTCAAAATGTTGCACTATTCCTTTAATGGATGCTGAGATATAATACTTGGGAGTAGTAGTGTGCACCTTTCAGAGAACTGACACCAGGCAGGGACACCCTCTCTGGGCATCTTGTCTTAGCATTTCTCTTGGTGCGGTTTGGAGTTAAGAAGCGCGGACGCCTGCTAGTGTGCGGCTCTGTCATTGGCGTGGATATCTCTGTGAAAATAAAATATAAGAAAAAATATAAAAATGCAACACAAGGAGATTTAGTGACAGCCTGCTTTATCCAACACCGTACCTTGCACATCTCCAGGTGTTGCTTTGGTTGTTGTAGCTTCTTTCACCGTCTCAGTTGCTGGAGTTTCACTCGTGATTGCCGGTTGAGCTGCTGCATCTTTGTCTTTCACCTGCAAAACAGATGGAGGATGAGATGTAAAATAGATTTTTATTCTCTAGGCCCAATAAAATCCAGAGAGTAAATGAGAATCTTTACATGACTCACGCTGTCTTTTGACCTGTCTTCTAATGAGTCCATTCTCTGACGAAGATCTGTGACTGTGGAGAGGAGGATGTGGATCTGCTCAGCAGTCCATGTATGGTGCTGCTCCTCTGTCTTGTTAGCCTCACTCACTGCTTTCTTCAGGTCTGTTATGTCCTATGACAATTAAAAAATGATGTAAAGCAACCCACAGTTTACTGTTACATGAGATTTTTTCTTTCTAAGACAAATGCAATTATGGGAAATCAAACAGCGGTGTCCTGGCAGGTTAGGCTGGTAGACAGCAAACAGTGAGCCAAGTTATTCATTTTCACATGTTTAAGTTGTACCTCAAAATCTTAAGACATGAGACTACAGAAATCTCAGCTTGCAAGAAATATATGATTGACATCCCACAGTTATTACGGTCACTGTATAAAAATAAATACATATACAGTGTATAATATACCAAGTGTACAATTATTTGGTCATCCTCTTTTTTCCCCCATCTTATTTTGTTTATGAAAAATGAAATGGAGAAAACATTCTGCAGTTGTCTCACATATTTGACCTAGTTTTACTCAGAAAACTAAAGCGTCTAAGCTCCAAAAATAGATTTGCACTTGTTTCATGTATTATGAATGAAAACCCAACGCATGGATCCAAGAAATGACAGGACCTTCTTAACCCAGTGACTCTGTCAATGTAAGCCTGACAAGAACTGCAAAAACATGCATGCTTGCTGGGGTAAACAGATAAACAAATTAATCTGGCACAGCCAAAGTTCACTGCTGCATCTGGTTTGGATCCATGCTACTGTTAAGCAGATCAACTGACATGTCATCAACAGAGTCATCTTGGCCGTATGTAAGTGGATTAGCCCCAATTCTGAGTGAGACAAATATGCAAAAGAACCGCAATATCTAAGAGCCGAGAAGTAGTTAATTACACTAGCTAATTCACTTAAGCACAAGGTACCATTTTGTTTTCTGTACACAACCTGCTCCATACATTCAGGTATTAATAATAAATGAGGAGAAAAGCAGCCTCTTGCAATATCTGCAGAGAACATAAAGAAGTAAATAAAAAAAGACAAGTTGTCAAACAAGATAAGTGAAATTCAACTTTGACTCATAAAAAATCCATCAGCTTTGCTCATGTGCAATACAAGAGCTTGCAGGCTTATTACTTAGAAAGGAACATAGCTTGTTTTCCTCTGTGATGTTTGTCAGCTGGCCAGAACACTATCGACATTTCAGTAGTTTAACATACAGCTTGACAATTCATTCTGAAAGGTTTAGGCTATTGTCATAGCCTACCTCCCTCTCAGTGCACAAAACATTTATCATCACTGCGACTGAAGACTGGAAAAAGTCAAAACAGCTGATTCATCCAGAGATATAAATGAATGATTCAATGTAAACAAAACTGATGTTAGGTATGTGGCTTTTACTCTGAAAGACCACAAAAATAAAAGGTAAAAATTAAGTAAGCAAATACACATGTATTAAATTAAAGATCTGAACAAAAGAAGGAAAAATTAAACTTCTTAAAACTTAAACATACACAATAATCTCAAAGCATCGAGATGTGTATTTGAAGCTATGGAAGAGACGAAGAAAATTTACGTTTTGCAAGCCTTAAAATCCTATTTAATCTGAAATAAGTGGGATTCCATCCCGATGTCGCACACATTTTAACAAAATATCAATGAAATTGGCAAAAGAAAATGCTAAATAATGCGTGTTTCCATCCACAACCATTATGAGAATATTACAAGTAGGTTTGTTGAGATGGATGACCTGATGGAGCTAATATGCAGTCGGTGCAATTAAACCATTTTAGAGGAAAAGGGCACAACGAGATGACATAAGAGTTGTAATTTGACATATGATTTATTTGCTGGGTCTGTTTCCATTGTGTGGAAACAGATTGTTTGCTTTTATTCATACGCCAACTTTTCCACATCAGCCAATCAAAGACTTTCAAGATTTTTTCACCTTTCTGGCTTTTCAACTGTTTTTTTAATGTGCAAATTGAAAAAGTGAATGGGCGATGGAAATCTACCTCATTATATAACAGTAACTCAGTCAGTTGTTCAGTATTCAACTTATAAAAATTTCACTGGCTTGAATTTACCATTGTCTTCTTCAAGTCGTCATCTTTCTTCTGATTTTCAAGAGCAGCCTGCATAGTCTTCACATCATGCTGGACACTTGTTAGTGTGCTGCCAATCGTAGCAACGCTCTGGAAAAGAAATATTTTGAGGTCAGGTGTGAAAATCAGAACAAAACAGATTATTAATAGATTCTGAACCAAATTTATATTTTTTTCCGTTTTGCTTTGCCTTTACCTTTTGAAGCTCTTCAACTGTTGTGGGAAGGCTGATTAAATCAGCAGCTGATTTCAAGTTGGCCTTTAAATGGTTTACAGCAGAGTCCAGCAAGCTGATCTGCAGGAGTAACATGACACAAACCAATCAGTTACACCTCCAAGATAGATTTAGGAAACTATGCCAGCCACCTCATTTTTTAAAAGATTTTAATGACCCCAAAATCTAGACTAACCAAGGTTGTAGAGTAAAAATACTGAGCATTTTACTCCAGTGTTTGGAAACTTAAAACCTGTGTGAAACTTCGCTAAAAATATATGTGTAAATTGAAAGCCATGTGTAGCTGTCACACACAGTGAGTTGTTGTATTACCAGCTCTAACTCTCTGTCAGTGCGTGAGTAACAGTAACTTGGTAAGGGTGAGAAAAATTTTGTGACACAAAAAAAATCTAAACTTGCTTAGCTAGTTTACTACTGTACATTTATATCATGCTGTTATTGCAACATGTGAAGTATGATGTATGATTCTTAGTTTGCATAACACAAAGAAAAGACTTGAAAAGTCTTGCACAGCATTGTGCTTGCAAATTACTATAAAGTATATTGGCAATCACAACCAGAGTTGTCATAATTTCTATTGTTTGTATTACTACTCTATATTATCTATTTAACAAGGACTCTCAGCAGCAAAGTGCATGCAACTGTAATCAGCGCGAGTTTAATCAGTCTACCTTGTATGACCTTAATACTCTTCCACAGTTAATTGTAGAGTTGTTTCGATTCTGATACTACTAGAATCTGTATATGAAAAGATCCAAATGAAAAGTTTAAGTAAACTACTCTATTACTATAAGCA